AATATCCCTCCAATTTGCAAAACGCACACTACTTCAGTCCCAGCTTTGCTGGTGGCCAGCATGTCTCGTGTTGGAGGAAAGGGAGACTTACCCACAGTGACTTCTTTCTTCCCTCAGGGTTACCTGGAGGGCAGCCTGCTTCTTCATCTTCTTCAGCCTTATTTGTTGTTGAAAACCTTGAAGGCAATATTCACAAGTTGAGGAGAGTTAGTTTCTGGACCCACATTCAATTTTGGGAGTTTTCTCCAGATATCAGGAATACCCTGAGATATGAAGTAGGTTCCATGCACTGTCTGGCTACTGTCCCCCCTCAGAAATCCATGGGATGTGTCTCTGAAGACATTCTTTCCACCCTCCGCATGAAAGCCTTTCATCTGGCCTCTGCTGAATTTCCCTCAGTTTCTCCAATTAACTAGGCGTTGGCCAGCTTCTGGCACCCCTAGTGCTCCACTCTGACTCGCCCTGCAACTGTGTTGGGGTTAGGAGGGACTCCAGATCTGGCTGTCCAGCCCTCTAGCTTACTGGCTTGCTTTCTTGCCTCTGCTAACACAGCCAACTTTTCTTCTCCAGTTAGGTTTGAATATCCACCCACAAGAGGTTATGGGTTGTGAAGATACCCCTTATGAGAGTGACAAACCTTCCTGGGTCAGCCTCAGACCTTGGCCATGTGCCTTCCAGTTATAAAGGCTAGTGATGAAAGGCACTTGTACATACATTAGAGGGAAGAACTCCATTTCCTGGTTTATAATTGGTCCCATGTCTAATGTTGCCGTCAGGAAGAGGTGTGTTTATAGGTTTGAGGATGAGCTAGGTGCAGAGGTCCTGGGAGAGTCCTCCAGACAAGGGGGTTGAGGCTCAGGAGGGTAGAGGACTATTCTCTTCTTAGTCAAAGAAGACTGATTAATTTATATTTCTTTTGGAGTCCCCGATTGTGATATAAGGCCATAAAGCACTGTCCATAGGGAACTTCATACCACTTCTCTTTCCTCTTACAGATCTAGTTGCAAAATACTATTGCAATTTAGGAACCCATCCTCAAGACCGTTTCTCCTGGTCACACAGGAGAAATGTATTGTGGCCAAAGACCATGTTTCTTAGTCACTGACAAATAACCAGACATCCATCAGTGATGGAAACACCCTCACGGGCTGTCCAAAATGGTTGTTCTGAATGCAGATCCCACAAATCTTTACCTGGAATAATTTTTTAACTTAGTCCACTGTCAAAGGATTTCAGAGCATTGAAACTGTAAAATTATAAAACTGGGAGCAGGTGTTTCAGCTATCAAAAAGCCATAGCTCCCTCTGGAGCTCTAGGATTTGATTTCTTTTTGCCTTGCTGTAGATATGCCAAGGATTCTGTACTGAAGCTTTCTGTATTCAGGCATCCCCTACCAACCTCCCCTTCAGCCTGGACTGAGCTCTAGCTGACCTTTGTGTGAGCTTGCCTGACTAAGGGTCTCCTGAACTCTGTTACTACAAATTTGTTAGCCAACTCAAGAGTCTGGCACTACTGACCAAGCTGGGGAGAACTTGCAAACAAAATGTTCAGAGATGCTGAGTCAGCCAGGATGGCAGCAGGTACAACAGGAGATCAGAGTGAAGAAAGGCTTCTCACTTGAGCAGGTAAGGAGAACACTGGGTGGATCCCAGAGCAGTGGCTCTCTAGGCAAAGGAAGCAGGGTATTTTACTGGGGAGACAGAAACCTGCACTTGTCATCACATGTGTATACACACAGACCATGCTTCTTCCTGTGTTGCACATTTAATATGGCAGGCAAGAACCCCTCAGGGCAGAGAATTTAGCAAGATTGTAATGGGCAAGGTTATATTAGGTCACCTCTAGAGAGGGACTGGGCAGTTTGGGCTAGTTCCTCACGGTCCTCTCCAAAGGGCAACAAAGAATTTGGAAGATGGTGGCAGTCATCAGGGGAAGGTAGCAATTTCACCGCTGTAAGCACAGGTGCTGGACCCCACATGCATCCCCAAGATGAGCCAGCTGAGATATATGAGAGGAAGTGCCCTGCACCCTCGCTCTGGCAGGGCCTCACCTGGGTGCAGCATCCAAGAGATACTTCTCGTCTGCACCTGCTGCTGAGATGGCCCTTCCTGGACCTAAAGATCCCCCAAGTGAAAGAGAAGAGCTTCTCTGCCTAGTCCCCTTGTGGCCCCTTCCCTGTGATATTTAGCAGCTTATTAAGAACTAGTGCTCCTGAAAAGATTTGACCAGAGAAAGGAGAACAGGGAAGCATTCTCCTTAGACATAATTTTGACCAAGACAACAAAGTCATTCCATCTTTGGTACAGCCCATCACCAATCTAACATGTGAATGCATCACCAGAAAATATCTCAAGACCCTAACACTGTTCCCTGGCCTCTGTAACTGAAAACTTGTAGGATCAGGAAGAGAGGCAAGCAAATCAGGAAAAAAAAAAAAAAAAGTCCATGGGGCCTTCTGCAGCAAAGCACAAGGATCTGGAGAAGACTGATCAGGGGTCTCCCAGGCAGGAAACCTTGACCCACCTTCTTCCTGCATGAGCCTGCACTGTAAGCTAAGAGTCATCTGCACTTTCCTTCTCAGGGCTTTTGAGTAGAGGCAGGGAATGCTGGCTACAGTCAGGAACATGCCATCTCAAGGGTAACAGGTAGGTACTATACAATTAGAAAAGTTCTTCAACCTGTTGGTCCTACCTAAAACTGTCCAGGACCACAACACATGGTTCCCTATTCCCTTGATCCTTTTTATTTTATAGTGTGAAATCAGGATTAGGGTAGAAGCCTATAGGATGTCTCCTAATGATGGAATGTTGTCTATCTGTGCTATACAAAATAGCAGCTCCTAGCCACATGTGGGCACTGAACACTAGAATTCCCAGTGACCCAATAACTGAACTCCAAATGTCTATAACATTAAGATAAAAACTTGGGCTTCACGAACCAGCTCCCAAGTAGGAACTTTGAAGGCTTGCTCTGCCAAGTTACTAGGTGTCCAGGGTACCTGCTGTAGTAAAGACCACTATGGAAAGCCATGAGGAATCCATCTTGGTGTCTAGATTTTAAAAAAAAAAAAAAACTGGAAGTAATGCAGTGGAGTGGAGGCCTTGAAGTTGCTTTGTGATATTGGCCAAGAGCCCAAGGCCCCTCTCTGGATCTGTAATATTAAGGGCAGAAAGGAGGATTAAAAAAAGAACACAATTAAAAGACTAGGGATCACCAAGGCCCTGTCAGCCAACTTGCACTGTCTAAGCCAGTCCACAACCTGTATCTGGGACCTGGGAAGAAACAAGCCAAATAATCAGAAGAATGGGAAGAACCATCTTTACTTCCAAGGAAGGGCTTTGAAAAGTATCCCCCCTCTTCAAAGCCTTTCCACTGTCTCCACTGTAGGTGATCATGCTATCCCTGTAATAGCAGTACCACTTGAGAAGTAGGATGTACTGTACATGCTCTTTCATTTCCACCCTAAGACAAGCTCTACCAAATAGCATTCCAACCAGAAACCCATTTTATAAGAATTCAAGGTTCTCTTGATGTACGTGCAGGACCCAGTCATACAAAGTGTCCGCTGTGGGAGTAGGAGGCTAGACCTGCAGCCTCGCGCTGACTCCTGTGGCCTTGGGTGCTTAGAGTAAGATGTATGCAGGAGGAATGCCACTCTAGGGCAGCAACATTCTCCCCAATGCCCCATACACAGGATAGTAAATGGGGATGAGATTTGATGTCCTTCCCTCTAACTCAGGAAAAAGAACAGTCTTTATCAAACATTTCTATGCGAGTGTTATTTTCAATCATGTCCCTTTCTCCCAGAATATCACATGCTGCTTCTCTTTATAGGAATGGATGTGTTTGCAGAATGTCATTAGCCTGAGAGTTAGAAGTGGGGAACAGCAGGGCCTGCTGCGATTTTAAGGCAGAGTGCTCAGGCTCCTGAGCTGACTGCCTCACAGGGCGATGAGTGTCAGAGATGGGAAACCCCTAGCTCATTATCTAACCACTCACCCCCTATATTACTGAGGAAGACATGAAATTTGAAAATAGACCTGACAGTAAGTGCTGCTAACTCCCTCTCCAGGCTCTGCACAACCCAGGGTTGGCCTAGGCTGCAGCAATCAGGAGGCCCTGGGGGCACCTCCAGCCAAGGGGCTCCATGTATCTCTTTAGACCCTGCACTAATTTCCACCCATGCTGTGGGTGAGTAGGCAGGCATGGGTACTGGGTCAATGTACACCACCCTAGACAAAGCACTTTTCTGCTAGCTGGCATTGGACAACCTTGGTCAAATTATAACTTTGCTAACCCAAAACCTCTATCTGTGTTCATGGATTAGTTCAGCAATTATGAGTGGCTTTTTTTTTTATCTTAAGGAGGAAGATAATTGTAGACTAAAGTGATTCTCTCTGTACCTTTGGCATTTCACCTGGCACTTGCTTGCCATTCTTGGGTTTTCCTATTTATAGAACCTACCACCATTGCCTCAGGAGTCACTGACATGCATACCCTCAAGGAGCTACCACTGAGGAATGTATGAGGAAAGAAGCAGCAGGTGGTAGTCAAGCCACTCCAAATGTGGCAGCTCCCATTAAGGAGCAGTCTTGGTAGGTTTGCATCTGCAAACATCACCTTGCTTCACTGTGACCCCATACACACACTTCGAGAAAGACAGTGTCCTTATCCGCATTTCACAGATGAGAGAATTGAAGTTTAAGGAGGACCAAGAGATTTGCACTCAGGTCCCACATGATATGGTAGGGCTGCCCTTGAACCCAGGCAGCCTATCGAGGAGAAAGTGGGGGGGGGGTTGTTTTTGAACCCAGGAAAGCCAGCACTCTGCTTCGGGGGCTCTGCAACATGCTCATGACCCTGTATTGCTGCTAAGTGCCCAGGCTCCAGAGCAGAGAACCAGGCAGAGCCTGGGGCAAGGTAGCCTGGCTTTTCATGAAGGCCTGCTGCCCTGTTCTTGGCTAGTTTCTCTTTTCATCCACCTGTTCTCTATTTCACAGGCTTCTGCAGAAACTCCTGGGCTCCCCGACAGAGGGGGCTCTGATGACTTCATCCTGGTTTCAAAAGAAGATGAGGGGGGCAGTGCCAAGGGGCACTTCTCAGGTCAGGCTCAGCCTCTTCACACCCTCAAAAGCACATCTGGGAAAAGCCGGACCCTGGCCTGCTCTCCTCTGGTGTTCTCAGATCCCCTGATGGGCCCAGCCTCAGCATCCTCCAGCAACCCCAGCTCCAGCCCTGATGACGACAGCAGCAAGGACTCTGGCTTCACCATCGTGAGCCCCCTGGACATCTGACCACAGGGACCCAGTCTCCCCCTCAGGGGCCTCCCTAGGGGAGATCCCTCTGAAACCAGTGCTGCTTCCCCAGCATGCATTTGGCATTGGTACAGCCCATTGGAACCCTTTAGAAAGAAGCAAATACACCTATGTTCACAAAAATGCAGACAGGACTTTCTGGGCCCTTACCTGACCCCACCCCAATTCTTGCTCTGAATTAGAGCCAGACTAAGTACCCAGAACCATACTCTGAGAAAAGACCAAGCCACAATCAGAACCACTTTTCCCCAACTTCTCCTCCCCAACTGAGAGTGTCTGACAATGCCATCAGTTACCTTTAGGAGGAGGTGGACAGCTTCCCTCCCTCAAAGCATCAGCCACCGGGAAAGTAGTTGATATCGAGAGTGCTTTCTCTGTAGAAATCTGTCTCATATTACTTAGTTCCTACCTAGGGAAGCCATATAGCAGAGCCAAGTGCAATAGAATGAACTAGAACAAGGGATTCCAGGACATGGAAAAACCCATTACTCAATTACTGACCTCTCAAAGTTATGATTTCTAGAAACTGGGTCTAAAGTTAAATTACACCATACCTCAAAACAACTTTTAAGATTCTTTTGATTTGTTAAAGAAGACATTTAAAATCCTCAGGCTAAGTAGATTTTGGCCTTATAGTTCCTCCTTAAACAATTATATTTTACTTTTTAGAATCTTTTACAGAAAACAAGGTCACTTTAAGCTATCTTTACTATACTGACTTCATAAGTTGCAAGAGTATTACTATCCTTGAATTTAAAAAAAAGTGACCCTGACTCTAAGGGATACACATCTTTCAGTCAAAGTGTCTCTGGTTTCAGAGCTGTATTTTACTGAGAAGTAAAGGGGGAAAGCTTTGTTTATTCCTATCTATAGTCAGAACCCCTTAGTGGCCTTATGGTAGCAGTGACAGGGAATTGGACCTGGAGTCCTTTCTCTAGGGAGCAGGGCTTCCTAGAGAACATTCCAGGTGCTGGGATGTTTCCTCCCTGGGAGGGAGGAAGGAATTGCAGGGCCTGTGCTCAGCTATGAACTCCTGTGTCCTGGGCACCACCACCAAGACCAGGTCTGACAGTATATACTGGTACTTTCCTGGGCTTCAACACAGATTGGAGACCAGCTCCCTCAGCTGGCAGTTTAGGAACACACAGCATCACCTAAGCTGTTTCTCTCTGTAAACGAAAAGGACCCAAGAAGGACACCTCTCCCCTGCACCTGAGCAGGTACTCTGCCAGGGACAAGTACGGACTGCAGATGGACATGGGGCCTGTTTTGCTTCCCAGAGTAAAGAGCAGCCCTTGCAGGGAGGCCTGGCTCTCCTCAGCAGATGGCAGTGGCAGTCTTCATGGTAACTTTAAATGAAAAGCTAAGTCTGAAAGAAGACTCCATTTATGTCCCTCCCACTGATAACCATATATTTCTCTACAGCAAATGTAATAATGACATGATTTCCCACTCGATCTCTAAGAAAATGGTGATGACTCTCAAGTCAGCTACTGCAGAGGTGGTTCTAATTAGCTCTACAATTTGCTCTTAATTAACAGAAATCCCCTCTCACCAGCAATGTGAGGTTAATGACTGGTTTGGCCAGATGGTGGGGTGTCTGTCCTTCCATGACTGGGCAACTGCTTAACAGTTGCACCAGTTAGCTCCCTGGTACCTGAGTCTGGTCCTCTTAGCACCTCTGAGTAAACTGTTCCGGGGCACGTCCCTGTGGCGACACTTTGTAAGCTCTAGGTCTTTGTGCAGTGGGCAGCCTCACATCTGTGCAGGGGTCACTTTCTCATAAAGGACTTGGGAAGGTGTCAGAAGTTCAGTTCTAGGAAGTACAGAATTGTCCTCTGCTCACTCCCACATCTCCTTTGCCCTGGGAAATAGAGGGATAGCTGGGTGTCACTGGCCACACAAGAGCCACTGCCACCCACCAAGCCAAGAAGGTTCCCTGCCATTGGCTGGGCATTTAATCATCACCAGAAACTCTCAGCCCTGTACATATGCTAAGGGAGGGTCCTCTCCATCCTGTACTTCTGTGCTGGTGCCACAGGAGCATTCGGAGGTGCTGCCTCTGTGAGCCCTCTCCCTTCTCAAAGGAAACGTAGGAGGGGAGCCTGTAGTGCAGCACCAGCCTCAGACCCCACCCCACAGGTTCAGAGGTAGAGCAATGTAGGAGTAGTGTTTTTTTCTAAGTGACTTTTTTTTTTTATTTTTCTTTGGTGAACATCATTTGCATTTTTTATTAGTTACAGTGCTAAAGAATGTGTTCCTTTTTATTATTTTATCAGGTACTTACATTTATATATTTTTTTAATCTTGGACATATGAGACCTTTTTGTTTTTCTTTAACAATTGTGGTAATCAGTGGAATTCCTCGCATGTTGTGATTATTAGCAGTTACATTTTATATACATTAAGCTTAGATTAATTCCCGCTGTCATCCACTTTTTTTATACATGTCCCCATGTGTTTCATGCATTCCTCTCTAATGAGAAATGAATTAAAATTATCTGTGCATTACAGACTAGAGGAAGAAAATCAGCTTACTTTGCCTTATATTGTATGTATGCCAAGGTCATATAACACTTTAAACATTCAGCTATACTCAATTATTCTTGCAAGGATGAACTCCCCCTTATGTTCAGTGCCAACTGCAATCTGTAAAGAAGGACAGCACTGCAGAATGAATGTGCTCTGCCCTCTCACATGTGACTGGGCTGACTCTAGAGCACTATCCTTTGCAGCACTGAGGAAGCTGCCATGGAGCTAGGTGCCTGCCACTAGCAGGAACACTGCCTTTACTTTGTCAGAGATGCTGAGTAGACATAAAGCTCTGACAGTTATAATTGATCCAAATTTATCAGGAGACAGCATGACAGGTTATCACTTTTGTTTTTTAAGAATCACCCGTACGGGTCATTCAGAACAAGAGAATGTATGAAGGACTTAAGTCTCCAGCTCGCTGAATGGCTATCCTGTGAGTGCAGGGCTGGTTCCATTGCTCCTCCCCAGCAGACACATGCCTGGCTCTGCCCTGTGTGTTCAGTGCAGGAGCAGCAGGGAGCTTTGGGGCAGGGAGAAGTGGCTGCAGGAACAGGGACAGCAACTGGCCAGCCAGGCTCCTTCTCACTGGCCAAATCACTTTGTCGGTGTTAACTTTCAGTAGCTTCTTCTAGTGGTAGTAGTTCATGTAAGCAGGCTGGAGACCATGTTGATATAAAAAGTTGTCATGATAACTTTTCTCTCAGTGGCATAATTCACTTGATTTATAAAATTCCCAGTAGTGCCCTCTACAGCATACATACCATGTTTCTCATCCATCTTTATGCTGTAACTCATACTGATATAAGAAACGATTTATCCTTTTGGCAAAGTGATCCCACTCAATACGGTTATAATAAAAGACTAATGTGAAACTGACAGTGTAGCTTGACTTTTTCCAGGTGGGGTGAACACACATTGAGGTCAAGTGCAGGTATGGACATGGTCCAGCCCCCAAGCAGAGGTCACACAGCCTCAGCACTGTCTTGGTCTCACCTACCCCCTGGAGAAGACCCAGGACTCACACTAGTTGCCATCCTCTCCAACTCTGGCAAGTTGCTTATCCTCCTGGGCCTCGGATTCCTTATCTACAAACTGAAAATTCTAGTAGTCACCCATTTCATGGGGTGATAAGGATCACAGGGGATAACTGATTTAAAGCATGTAGCATAGAGAAAAGCAGGACAGCTAAGGATGATTCTGGACAGGGTAGAGTCCGACCCCTTCCATTGACAGCCATCCCTCCCCCACCCCCCAGAGGCCTGGCTACTCTTGAGACAATCCTCCTGCTTTGCCTGCTAATTCAAGAGGCCATTTGGGGGCCACCCCAAAAGCCTACCACCCCTTCCCACTCCCACAGCACCAAGTTTGTCCTACTAGCCCAACATTCAGCACAGGGCAACGACACAGGAGTGGTGCCGAAAGCATGCTTAAGGGACAGCCAGGAAAGGTGGAGGCTGGGGGAGGAACCTTTGTAGAGCCAGGAAGCCAGTGGCTCCTAAGAATGGGTGCTTGGGCCCAGCCCCAGACTGCAGGACACTTTCTCTGCCTGTGTGCCACAGCTCCCTGCAGGCTCTGTGGAGGGGCTGGTCCACCTCTCAGAGGGCTCCTGCAAGTGAGGGTTACCCCAACTTCCTCAGGCCAGTGACAACCACATATGCTCCCCTAATGGGGCCTGGGGTACCTTGCCCACGTACCTCAAGACTGATGTGCTACAGTTCATCCTGCCCTATATGCACCCCTCTCTGGAGACTTGGCTGGAGTCCCAGGAAACTGCTGCTCCTGGTGTGAAATGAGAGAACCAATCACCCCGCACAGCTCTAGACAGAAAGCTGGGGGTCAGTTGTGAGTGCAGCTGCCCTAGCCCCTGGTTGGGACTGACCACCTGAGGCCAGTGCTGGTGTTTTCCCACAGCTCCCCTGCAAGGTTAAGCTCAGGTTGCTGGCTGCCTTCCCTCTGAGTCTTCTCTCAGGATCTGCTTCTGGGAAACTCAAACTAACATTCCTTCCCTCCTGAGACATGCCTGGCTCACCCCAGCAGGTTGGAGAAAACAGGAAGCGGCCAAGGTATCAGGTTGACTGAGCTTAGAATCCTGGCAGAAGAGGGGTTGCTGAGATGCTCTTTCCCTCCACTGTGGTCAGGAGACTGCACAGAGACTGCTCAAGTCCCATCTAAGGGCCAGGACAGCCCCTCTGTGTTCCAGAACCACCTAGTTGCCAACTCCCATAAATGAGCAGTACCCATGGCCAACAGTGCCCTGCTAGGAAGAGCTACTGACAGTTCCACCTTTATTTTGTAACTTATCTCTGCCACAGCCAGCATCCATAGCCTTTTGAGGATGTATATGTGTCATCAGAAACTTTTGCACTGAGAGCCACATCTGTTTGTGAGAAGAGATGGTAGTTCTCACAGGAAGGGAAAGGGCTCTGGACATAGTGACAGCTCCACAACCCAGAGGATCCACTCGACATCCGTTATCTCACTCCAGCAAATTCCAATGGACAACCTCAGAGTGTGAGATTACATGAGTGTTCAGACATAAAATACCCCTGAAGTTGCCAGGAAAGGGTGGAAGAGATATGTTTCTATATAAGG